GTCACAAGATGGGAAATACTTGGCTCAGTAATATTACATATGAGAAGAATCTTGAAATTTTAAGATCAAAACTGAATATGAGCCAACAGTGTGATGTGGCTGCAAAAAAGGCAAATGCTATTTTTGGATGCATTTACAGAAGGATAGTCTCCAAATCCATTGAGGTACTAGTCCCCCTCTGTTTGACACTGGTTAGGCCTCACCTAGAATATTATATCCAGTTCAGGACACTACACTTTAAAAAGGATGCCAACAAACTGGAACAAGTTCAAAGGAGGGCAGCAAATATGATCAGGGGACTGGAAGCCAAACCCTATGAGAAAAGACTGAAAGAATTGGGTATGTTTAGTCTTAGGAAATGAAAATTAAGGGGAGATATTATAGCACTTTTCAAATACTTGAAAAGCAGTCATACAGAGGAGGGGCAGGATCTGTTCTCAATCATTCTAGAATGCACGACACATAATTATGGGCTCAAACTACAGGAAGCCAGATTTAGGCTGAATATCAGGAAAAACATCTTAACTGTTAGAGCAGTAGAACAATAGAATCAATTACTGCAGCAGGTGGTGAGCACTCCAACACTGGAAGAACTCAAGAGAAAAGTGGACAACCATCTGTCAGATCTGCTTGGATTTGTATTCCTGCATTGCACAGGAGTTGGATTCAATGGCCCCACAGGACTCTTCCAACCTGATTCTAAGCAGAGATGGGGGGATTTGTATACAAATATCTCCATGCAGCTGGATTTAACGAGGGTTTGGCCCCTGGGCCTGGACCATACACTCACATGTCCGATGGTGCCGGCAGCCTCACACTTCCTCCTAAATCATTGTCAGAGCACCACTCTCTTCCTGCTCAGCAAGCGACCCAGCAGACTCGTCCTCCCTCCCATTGCCAGGAGTGGTTGGTTAGCCAAGTGGGGCTCCAGGAGTGACTTTAATGAAGAGTGAGGCTGCTGCTGCCAGAGACATGAATGGATGGTCTGGCCCCAGGGGGCTGGCCCCTCAATAAGTCCAGCTGTGCAGGGATATTCCAACTCCCACCCCAGACAACTGTCTAGAAGGATGGCATGGTTGATGCCATGGAAGATCTAGCAGGTTCAACAGGGATATATACTCCTGCCGTCCAGTTCCTAGCATAGGTCATCCAGCAAGGTGACCAAAAGTAGTCTTCATCTCATAACCAGGGCTGAAGCCAGACTAAAATGGATCTAGATAATATATCTTATTGAAGAACCCTTGAAATTGAGAAGCCACAATCCACTCCAGAACCTTGCAAAAAAAAATTGGAATATTAGAGACTGGCTGGTAATTATTTCATATTATGGGATCCAAGGAGGGCTTCCTCAACAATGGTCTTACTATTGCCTCCTTGAAGTATACTGTACTAGGATCCTACCCTGTTGTAAGGAGGCATTCACCACTCTTCCTACCCCCTCAATAGTCCCTTTCTGGCAGCTTTTATAGCCAGGAAGGGCAAGGGTCCAGCAGACAAGTGGTAGCCTTCACTCTCAAAGTGTTTTGTTGACATTATCAGGCTGCAGAAACTGATACATTAACAGAGGGCAAGCAGGCGCCATAGTTACATTCACAGGACCTATATCAGCTACAGCATCCAAGTCAGAGCAAATCAGAGTAATTTCCCACACACACGTGTCGTGCAAATTGTTCACAGCAAGATACAGTGTGGTCTACATTCGCTTCCTTTGGGCCATGATGTACGAGGCCCTGGACCACTCAAAAGAGCTCCACTGGATGACTCTCTGCAGATACAATTGTGGCAGAGAAGAATGACTTCTTTGCTGTCGCCACTGTCACAGAACAGGCCTTCCAAAGGGCCCTAGCTGTTTGGTTAGACTCCTTCCATGTTTTCCACCACTGTTGCTGAAGTCTACATCCTAATCATTTCATCGCCACTAGGTCCCTGGTAAACCAGATGGCCAGTCTTGCTCTATTTGGTGGGAATGTTTAGGAGCTTCTGCCATTTCCCCATTCCAGAGATAAATAAGGGCTTTAACAGAATTGCCTCCCATGGTGATAGGAAACTCCCCCAGAGATGTCAGGAAACCATGTGGATCCACCAACCTTGTGAGGCAAACTCTATTAATCTGTGCCCCACCCTGCAAAGGCTGAGTTCCAGTGAGTCTGAACCCGACCATCTGAACGGTCTGGACATGACAGTGAAATTGCAGAGTTCCTCCATAACCAGGTCACCAACATATCCCAGTGCAGAAAGTGAGGTCTAAAACGTTCTCTGCCCCATGGGTGAGGGCAGATATCATTTGGGACAGATCCATGGTTGTCATGGAGGTAATGAAGTCTACACCAAGTCCTGATAGAGCTGCCTCAGCATGGCCACTGAAGTCTCCAACACCCTGAGATTAGCTCAGTTGGTATAGAAAGGGACATTGTTGAGCCATGGGGTGGGCAGCACACTAACAGAATCCCTATTGTGTCTTGGGATCCTGCTTTCAGAGACATACATTCAAACCCAAGGAACTGAGGAATGTTACATCTGGTGAGAGGGAGGGAATAACGATAGGCCGCTGGAATTCCAGTGCAGCTATTCCTTGCACACTTCTGCTAACATATTACCGGAAGCCAGCCCCAGTGAAACATCCACAGCTTAATCAGGTAGAATCAGATCTATTTGAAATATATATGGCCCATAAAACAGATATTAAAACCTCTTTTTTTACTTGCACCAGTCTAACCTATTCATTCAACCTTTAAATCTAAATAGCAGAGATTTTTAGCCTTCTGTAAAACGATTGCTATTTATCCAACTTTTTTAAAAAAGGGGGGAGAGGGACAAAAAATCCAAAACTTTACTTCCTCATTTCTCTGAAAACTCTGATAAGCTATTAAGGGACCAACCCGACAGGCCTTCGCCTCCTTTACATGCTGCTTCAGTGTGCACAACAAAATGCCAGTGGAAAAACGAGCCCATTGTTCATGGGTTTTTTCAGGAGTGTGTGCAAAGAATGACAGGGGAAAGCTGTGCATGAAAAATTATTATTTAGGTATTGGTTGCGAGCCACCCTCTACTTTCTACCCGAAGAGACCCAGCGCTCCCTAATCCCGTATTTCTACAGTCCGTTGTGCTCGCTGGTCAATCGTGGCTGCCCAGGATGCCCGCACGCACCCTATATTTACTGTATTCTCCACCCCAACCCCCAAACCCAGTCGCTCCAATGCATTTTTATTCACGACTCATTCAGGCTCTGGATTCGATCCGGCCAACAGATTCTAGACTCTGAAGGCTGAGGTACGGAAGAAAAAGGAAATCGTTCACCAGTTGAGGCAGACGCAGAGAAAGCCCAGTCCGAACCTAGGCCAACGAACAAAGCCACATAAAAATCAGAGCGCTGGAGAAAGAGGGAAGTCAGATGGTGGTTGTTTTACGCAAGACCTCAACGTCAAGAGGTTTTAGCAGAGAATCCAAATCTGAATAAACCCTGCCGGATCCTTTCTGATTATTGTACTTACAACAAAGAAAACCCAGTGAATTTGAGGACCTCCCCTTTGTCCCCCTTATGGGCGGAGCTCATGAAGAACGGGGGAATTATCTCCCTCAACTCTCACTCTCACTCTCTCTCCTCTGCCCCCGCGCGCTCCTTTCCCACTCAAATAAAGACAACATGGCGGAACCTACCGCCCACAGCACTCCACCACTTGCCCGGCCTCCCCCTCCCCTTAATAAAACCAGCAGACACATAGCCCTGCCCGGTTGCTTATATAGCCGCTGAGGGGCGGGGGCGGGTAAGAGTTGAGGTGGAAGGACCACGGTCCGACCAATCCCTTCCCTGTGTACGGCGAGCTCGCGCTCACTCACTAGAAAGCCACGCCCCCCACGCCCCCCTCCTCTATCCCACCCGAGAGATACCCTGGGTCCGCTGTAGCGCCAGTAGAGTACGTAAATGCCTTTCTGGTCTCCGCTGGGGCGGTTGTGCCAGAAACACACACACACACACTTTCTTTCATTCTCCACCCCCATCAACACCCCGCCCTTTGGTAGGTGAGCGCGCATAGCTCCCATAAAAGGAGCCGACTGGAGTGCGCGAGCACGACCTGTCACCCGCCTCCCCGCGCGGGGCGCGCGCACCGTGACGGAGGTGGCAGTTGTAGCTCCTCCCCCTTGAGTGGGGCGGGGCGCTCCTGTCCGGCGGGCTCGCGGCGGCGGCAGCACCGCCCCTTTCCCCTCCCCCCCATCTCTCGCGCCCGTCCCTCAGTAACTTGGCTGTCTTTTTCTCAGGCGAGTCTTGGCGGTTGAGAGTTTATCGGTGCCGGAGCTGCCGCGCGACGAGAGCAGGACGTGACGGGGAGGGGGGGGGGAGAAGCAGCCGCGAAGGGGGGGGGGTCCCCCGCCGGCTGGTCCGGCCGGCCAGTGGGTCGGTCGGTCGGTGGCGGTGGTGGACGGACGGACGATGCTCCGGCTGGTGTCGCTGAAGTTGGGGAGGCTTTACCGCTACGTGAAGCTGGCCGTGCTGGGCATCTTGGCGGCGGCGCTGGCCCTCAACTCGCCTTCGCTGCTGGCCTCGCTGCAGCGCAACGAGCTGGCGGAGCGGCGCTTTCTGCAGCTGAACAAGTGCCCGGCCTGCTGGGGCACCAGCTGGTGCCGCAAGTTCCTCAACGGGCAGCTGCGCCTCGAGAGCTGGGGCCGCCTCCGCCTCCTCGACTTCCTCAACGTCAAGAACGTTTACTTCGCCCGCTACGGGGAGCCCCGCGAGGGCAGCCGCCGCGTCGTCCTCAAGCGCTTGGGCTCCGCGCGGGAGCTCGCCGACATCGACGCCAAGATCTGCCGGCGCGCCACCGGCAGGGGACGCTGCGACCTGCTCCAGGCCCTGCACGCCACCGAGTTCGCCAGCATCAACGGCGACGTCCGGCTCCTCACCCCCGACGTCGTGGAAGGCTGGTCGGACCTGGTGCACTGCCCCTCGCAGCGCCTCCTCGACCGCCTCGTCCGCCGCTACGCCGAGACCAAGGACTCGGGCAGCTTCTTGCTGCGCAACCTCAAGGACTCGGAGCGCATGCAGCTGCTCATCACGCTCGCCTTCAACCCGGAGCCCCTCGTGCTTCAGGTAAGGCGGCTTTGGTTCCCTCAGCCCCCGCAGACCGAACGGTTTGCCCCTCCATACACCCTGCCCCCCGATTTTCTCTCAGGATCCCTTGCCTTGTCACGGGGTTCGTAAAATCTGGTCAGCCGAACTCGTTTGGAGAAGATCTGCTGGAAGGGGTTAAAAGTTGTCTGACGGGATCAGACCAGGGTTGTGTTTAGTTCGCTCTTCCGGCTCTCCTAAAGTCTCATTAGGTTTCCTCTGGGCTCCCGCGGGCAAGAGGGCATGGTAGTGATCACCATTACTACAGTGTAATTCTAATTTATTTACTTTCCATTAAACAGAGCTAAGTGCAGGGGGCGAAAACAACAAACGGTGAAGTGTAATGTAATAGATTAACGATGCTTACGGTATAAACTTTGATGGATTCTTTAAGATATTGCTGGATTCTAATTTCAAGATGATGGATTATTTTTCCTTCCCCTTCAGTTTATTCCAGTTTATGTTTTTGAATAGAGTATGAGACCTGTGAGTACTTGTTAGATATACTTTAAACCCTGACCTTTTAAAGGGTGGTTGACTGAAGACAAACTAGAATAAAAAGATGTTTTGAATTTGTGAGATTGAGTCTTTTGTCATTCTTTCATTATTCCTACTGGAAGGGACTGGACACTGATCTTTTGTTGAGATGTGTATACCTGTGGCCAACCATTTCTCAGTTATCAAAATTGCAAACTTTAGGTCATTTCTTCTCATAGGTAGCTAGATTTAATCAACTGATACCAGACTCATCTGGTTGAATTCAGTTGGGGAGTGCCTGACTTGCTTTAAGCTTTTTCCAGGATTCCCAGTAACCATGAGAACACAAGAAGATGAATATCCATGCAAATACATATACCTGTAGCCAGGTTTAAGTTCTAATCTGCAAACCTAAGCCTTCATACTGGAGACTAACAGCTATTTAAGTAAGATGCTCAGGTTTTGCGTAAACATGCTTATGAGTCCAATATTGTCTTTTATGAATGTAGTTTGTAGATTTGTTCAGATGTCATTAGTAAAACAGAGTGCAGTTGTTTACGTTTCCCCATATTATAGGTTAGCCAAATAATATTTTAAAATAGGGATTGTTTAATGTATAATCTTTTAACTATATAGTATAAGTTGCACAGTTTAAGTTTATTTTTGGATTCTTTATTTCCATTTAGGTAATTGTGTATGTGCTGAAAATATTGACATATTCGTATGTATTTGGTGATACTAGTAAGTTTCTCAATCCGTGGTTGTTGTTTTTTAGGGAAACTTTCTAGTAATCACTTGTGGTTGAAACTCTTCGCAGGTAGCAGGCTTGGTGGCACTGTAGCTAAAGACAAGATGCTCCTACTTTAATCACCTTACTAGTTTCTGATTTAAGGTTTTCAGTAATCATATTTTGGCATGTATAGCTTGATCAAAGTTTCTAAGTAGTAAACATTGTCTAAAGGTCAGTTAGGAATTATCTGGACTTGCTTGAGTTATATTTCAGAGTAGAGATATATTCTATGAAAGCACAAATCAGTTCTGTTGTTAGATAAAATAGTGACATATTTTGATCTAAGTTATGGTGCTAAAGCAGTCCCAGAGACTCGATGTGATCAGATTTAGTCCTGTATCGCTAACATATTCATGATATTTTATTTGTTTGCATTGTTAATATTTTTCATAACTGCTCAGATGAAAAGCAGGTTTAATCAGAAATTTGAAAGCCAACAGAGATCAACGGGGACAACTCATAGTTAGAGAGTAATGTAGATGCCATTCTATGAGCAACATAATAACCTTTTAATTTATGTAAAATATTGTTTTAACATTGTAAGCTGCCATGCGTCCTTTTGAGGAGAAAGGCAAGATATAATTATTTTAAATAAATAATAAATGCAGTGTTCACACAAAGTAAAGTATATTGAATTGTAGTGCATACTAGGTTATCTCTGTATTTTATAATAGTTGCAGTTCCTGAAGGGGTTTGCCTGTAACAATAAATATAGAAAAAATCTTTAGTTACTTTCCCAAACTAGAATGATGGTCAAAGCCAGATCAAGCATAATGTTGAAACAGCTGGTGCTCTATTGAACTGCTTACTGGCTTGGTATGTACCAGCTGGTATATCCCTTTAAACACTTCTTGAAAGACTGCCCTTAAGATGAAATTTAGACTAGACTTTTTAAAAACTGAGGACATTAAAACTGTTTTTATATTGGTTCCAGTTGCAGCTTTCCAAACCGGGATAGTGAATCAGATTAGTGTTGTGTATTTGTAGGTGCACAATGTGTAATTTTTACTTAAGCCTAGCAAAAAATCTGTTTTCACACTGTTATATCTGCTTGTATTGGTGGCCTAGCATTGTTGTGCATTTGTAATGTTAACTATATTTGCCTTTATTTGAATGTAGAAGAAGCCTGATGATCAGGAAGTTGGACCTTTTAGGCAAATTCTCTTTAGTATTGCTCTTGGAATTTCAGGAGTAAAATTACTCTAATACGGTTAAACTAAGATTTAAGCAGTACTTTTTGCTTAAGAAATAAATGCACATCACTATAAATAGGCATGAATACACATTCAATGAAGTAATTTGGGGATTGAGGTTATGATGCTATAAGAGCCTGAACTCAAAAAACAAAAAACCTTCAAAGTCTGTGTATAGTTGAAACTCTCTACATCTGGGTGGTGGAAGTGGATGTTGGACTGGTTTATTTTGTTCTGTCTGGTTGCTCTGTTTTCTTAGGTTATGCATATCATGGCATATTTTCAAATCTTAACATAGTTTGTATAAGGTGTTAAGAATACTGCAGTAGATACTAGGTCCCTGTAAGTAAGCCTCATTGTGGTTTAATTCAGGTAATTATATGTAAGATTGCAACATAAGGTTCACACCTAGTTTGCTGCTAGCTTTTTTTATGAATTGCATACAAGAGTTTTTTGTTCTGTGACATCCTATAGGGAAAAAGGAGATTCTGTGCAAGTTATGTTAACCGTGATGCTCATTTTTAAATGTATGTAGACTGATACCAGGCTCCAGTGATCTATGCATGTTGCAGGTTTTCTCTCCTTTGATCTTTGGCTCCCTCAGTATCTCTGTCATTATCTCCTGATCTGCAGAAATACCTATCCTGGTTCAATAGTGTAGTTGCTTGTCAAACAAACACACTTTAGAAAAAGATGACCAAACAGACTGAATTGGCTTAAGGAACTTCATAGGTTTAGTTTCCAAATAAAAACTTTAATAAAACAATAAAAGATCAAGCTTTTGACAAAGAAAAATGCCCTGTCATCTTCAGTTTACAAACAGCATACTAGCTACATTGCATACACTGAAACTATGTGATTACTATGATGCTTGAAAAAAGCAGAAAGGTTTTTCAAACACACTATAAAAGACAGTGTTTGTACTATAAGAGCTAATGTTGCAGAGTTCTCTATACAAGTGCTTAATATACTGTCAGAGTAGTATAAGCCTTAAACTGTAAGGAACACTGATTTTTAAAAGCTTTTTAAAAAGTTGGGATGAAAATCCTTATTCTAGATTGATATTAGAGTCTGCTGGATTTAGGAAGGAATTGAATGGGATTCAGATGTTGCAGACTGGTCAGACTAAGTTATGCATGACTAGGCACTAAATGCAAGGCTTGAAATTTGATTTTGTAATGGGAAATGTGTCTCAAATAATCCAGTAAACTGTAGTGATTCTTGGATTATAAGATTTTTTGTCAGAGATTGGAAGCTTAGTTTGAAGCCTATTTGGAGTATGGATTACTTGTAAAGTGGCAGTGCTTATGAAATGCACATTGCCACAACAGATAGCCTTTATTTTAGCTAGTTTTGAGATTATTTAAGCTTGACCTACATTTTAAGAGATTTTTAAAGCTGGAGGAAAAGTGTTATTAGAGGAACAACTCTCAGTAGTTTGCCTTATCCATCTTCATCAATGTTTAGATAGAAAACTAGACAAATTTAATTAAATGTTTTGCTTAATTTTGTATTTTGGGTACTGAAACATGTGATATAAATAAGTTTGAAGTGTATGTATGTGAATGAAGGCAGTCTGGTCCTGTAAAAAATACTGTGGAAGTTTAAGAATGTATTGGAAATTTAAATTTAACTAATTCATCAGCATTTACAGCAAGAGTCAACAACAAAATTCTGAGACATAGCTAAGAATCTAAATAATGAAGTAAAAATCTAATCCTGTTTGTCTCTGCAATTTTTGTCTGTATGACATCTCCAGAGTTATTGTCTTAATAATAATTTTTTTATTTCTTGTTTGTGATCAGTGAAAATTTGGTTACCTGGTAAGAAAAAGTTGTATGGATGTTTCTGTCAAGATATGAGTCTTCAAAGAAAATGTAAGTTGCATTAGTTTTGCAGAGACATCAGACTTTTTAGACTTTGACTTGGAATCCCCCCCCCCAGTGCATGTTTAGACTATGTACTGTATAATGCTTTTAGTATTGCGTTCTCATAGGCTAAAGCAGTAAATATTTCTAGATACCTACGGATAATCCTTGTTCCAACTAACAAAAATAAGTTCACTATTGCTATTTACTGCTTAATGATTGCAATTGACCTGGCAGCAATCACAACATAAAATAAGATGCTACTCGTGGAAGATTATTTCAAGATTATAACATGTTGTAAACTGCTACTGCACACATTATTTTGTGGACAGATGAGCATTGTAATTGCACAAGTGTGGAGCTAGGCAGGCATGGTGGAATGATTTGGATAAAGGTGCTTTCCATGAGAAGGTATATCACATCAGTTTAAATAAAGTTTTCCTTTAGAAGTTTTCCCAAAGGAAGCACATACTCATCTAATTGATATAAATGTAGAAATAAATGTATTGTAGTCAAAACCCTGAAAACTGCCTGAACTGTCCTAGACCCTTGGATATGCTGTCCTAGTGCTTATTGTACTGCATTCTTTTGTTAGAGATAATGGAGGCAGATACCATAGTGCACTTCTTTATATGTGAGAATATAAAACATCTC